GGATGTCACGGTCCGGCCTGCAGGGGTCACAGGCGGGTCAGGCCCGAGGATTGGGAATGGGCCCCAGGTCACGCTCCCGCTCCCGATCGTCAGTTTTGCACACGAGCCGGAGGCGCTCTACAAAGGGGAGGGTTGGGGATTTCTGAGAATTACCTCTAGCGCGTTTCTCCCCGGTTCCTGCTAGTGCCCAGAAGTTGACTAAAAGAAATGACAGTAAGAGACCGCCTTGCCCAGAGATTCTGAATCACTAACTCCTCCAAACACGCCCTGTGGCGACCCTGGCTTGGAGGTTTGCTGGACTGTGCGGATCGCTATGACCTCCGCATACATTTCCTGACCCTCCGAGTTTGGGGACCACCGCGAGTCCCCATTAGTGCCACGTATTTAAACTCTCAGGATTAAAATTTTCCGTCTCCAAGGGACGCTTTCCAAGGAGTGCGAGAGTGCTTCTGTGAGAGCCAGTGCTTCTAAACAAACGTACGTCATTCTGTTTCATTTTCGGGGCCGCTGGTACGTTCAGCTCGCAAACCCAGGCAGCGAGTGGCTCTGACTGGTCGGAAGCGGTGTGGCTCGGCCAGGTGGCAAACAGTGAATGCTCTTGCGCACCCGGTAGTGCCAGAGCTCAGCTACTGGCTGCAGAAGCGGCTTATTGGAGTTGGGCAGAGTCCAGAGGACCCGCTCCCGGGTATACATTCCCTCAACCTTCCCATTAGCTGCCGGCAGACATCTGGGTTTAGGGCCAAAATGCCCTCTCGCCAGAGTGAGGACAGTAGCCTTACACAGGTTGGGAAGTGGGGGAGCGGAGGAAGGCTCTAAGCGCCCAACGTCCCGGCCACCCTGGTAATGCAGCTTAGCGTCCCTGAAGCTAGGAAGAGTCTTTACATCCAGAAGCTCGGTTTGGGAATTCACCGCTGCCCTGAGTTGTAGACAGACTGGGAACGATCATCTCCATCCTAAGGAGGAGCAAACAGGCACAGGAATGTGTAATGACTTGTCCAAGGTCAGGCAAGTAGAGTTGGAGCCAGACTCCTGGGCTTTCCTTTGCTCTGTCTGGGTCTCCTTACCCTGCTATGACCAAGGATTCTTCCCCGCTGCCCAGGTAGAACTGCAAGACCCAGGGTGTTCGGGAACCGGCGGCGTGACCGGATCACACAGCCTGGCGTTGATTGTGGAGCGGTGGATGAATTGCCCCTGGGGTCCGCCTCTGGAGAGTCAAAATAAGGGATCAGGCTGTGCAGGTTTGCATCCAGATTCCTGAGGGACCTGGATGCTTACTTGTACCCTTCCGGAGGACTTTCCAAAACTTTTTGAGTACTCCCTTGTGACACGGGAGCTAGGATCCACGACCCGCAGGTCATATTTGACTCGCAGTGGTTCTCGCTTGTGTCTTGGTCCTGGGTTCTTTTCTGGAATCCTCGAAAGTCGGAAAACCTGCGTTCTGGACCTAAGTTACCACACCTGTGGGAGGAGTTCACTGAATAAAGATTGCTGAGCACGCTTCCCTTTGCTTCTTGAGCAGGTGGACAGGAACCCACGCGACACTTGTGTATGGAAAGCCCGTCCCACATGACACTTGTACATGGAAAGCCCGTGGAGGCGGCTTTGGGCTGGGGCGACGCTTGGATCAGGCAGGAGGGATTTCAGGGGCCTCCTGAAAGAGCCAGGAGAGGAATTCTCGCTCCTGGGAGCCCAAGTCCGCCCCCACACCCTGCTGTCTGGGAGCTCCGCACACCTTGGATGGGGGAGGCGGCGCTCCTAGCCTAGCACCCCAGGAGGCGCGCTCCGAGGGTAGCAGCTACCGCTCCGCCTCTGCTTCGGCGCAGAACAAACGGTTAAAGATTTTGGGCTGCGCCTCGCGGGGGGAGGAGCCAGGGGCCCAATCCGCAATTAAAGATGAACTTTGAGTGAACTAATTTGTGTCTAACCAAGGTAACGTGAGCAGTAACCTGGACCGCCTATAAAGCGGGCGCGCGGCGGGGCTGGAGAGCTGGTGGCGGCGGCAGGTGGCGCGGGAGACCATAGCGTGCCATGGGGCTCCCCGCGCTGCTGGCCAGTGCGCTCTGCACCTTTGTGCTACCACTGCTGCTCTTTTTGGCTGCGATCAAGCTCTGGGACTTGTACTGCGTGAGCAGCCGCGACCGCAGCTGCTCTCTTCCCTTACCCCCCGGGACTATGGGCTTCCCATTCTTTGGGGAAACGTTGCAGATGGTGCTGCAGGTAAGGAAGCTTGGGCGGGACGCTTTCCCGGAGCTCGGCTCAGCTCTGGATCTCAGCTGAAGCCAGGTTAGGCGTACGGGTGAAGGAAAAGACTGCAGCTAGGAACGGAGCTAGCGGGAGGCGCGAAGCTCCCAGGCGCCCCCTCATGCCCACGTCTCTCTACGGTCTTCTCACAGCGGAGGAAGTTTCTGCAGATGAAGCGCAGGAAATACGGCTTCATTTACAAGACACATCTATTTGGGCGGCCCACGGTTCGGGTGATGGGCGCGGACAACGTGCGGCGCATCTTGCTTGGAGAGCATCGGCTGGTGTCGGTCCACTGGCCCGCGTCTGTGCGTACCATCTTGGGCTCTGGCTGTCTCTCCAACCTGCACGATTCCTCGCACAAGCAGCGCAAGAAGGTGAGGGCGGGGTGGTGACTCCTGGGCAAGGAGCGGGACTCCTTTTCTGGAGAGGTTCAGGCAGATAAATGCAAGGCAAGTGCTAGCAGAGGTGGGACTTGGACTCCTCCGAGCTCTCGTTTAGCTTTCCCAGCCGGAATGTACGTAGAGTCTGGAGGAGCTGAGGTTGTATGGCCCGGGACCCAGGAAGGTGAGATGGAGCGGATAGAGGATTTTAACGATCTTGGCTTCCCGGGACCCAGGTGATTATGCAGGCTTTCAGCCGCGAGGCACTCCAGTGCTACGTGCCAGTGATCATTGAAGAAGTGGGCAGTTGCCTGGAACGATGGCTGAGCTGCGGCGAGCGCGGCCTTCTGGTCTACCCCGAGGTGAAGCGCCTCATGTTCCGCATCGCCATGCGCATCCTGCTGGGCTGTGAGCCCCCGCGGGCTGGCAGCGGAGAGGCAGAGCAGCAGCTAATCGAAGCCTTTGAGGAGATGACCCGCAATCTCTTCTCGCTACCCATCGACGTGCCTTTCAGCGGGTTGTACCGGGTAAGGGCGGCAGGCGGGGTGCGAAGTTTGGGGCGCAGGAGTCGGGCGTCTGCTCACCGCCTCACTCTCTCTCTCTGCTCAGGGCATGAAGGCGCGGAACCTCATTCACGCGCGCATCGAGGAGAACATTAGAGCCAAGATCTGCCGGCTGCGGGCTGGGGAAGCAGACAGGAGCTGTAAAGACGCGCTGCAGCTGTTGATTGAGCACTCCTGGGAAAGGGGAGAGCGGCTGGACATGCAGGTGAGTGATAGCTTCAAAGCGGGGGAAGTGGAATTGGGTCCCCAGCTTTTCAACCCGCAGTGCTTGGGGGCCCTCAAAGCTTCTCAGAGTGGGCACTCTGCCCAGACTCCAGCAATAACATCCCGAAGGGTTGATACTAGGTCAGTAGAGCCGCTAAAGAGGCTGCCGCCGAACTCTAAGAGCGTCCCCTGGTCTTTCCAAATTTCAAAGGGAAAAATCGGAATCTGCAAATGTTAATAAAGAAACTTGGGCATTTTTAATAACTCAGGAGGTCCAGGTTCAAGTAGCTAATCTAAAGAGGCTGCATTCTCTTTAAAGACGTTTGGTCTATCAACAAAACTTTTTGCGTTTCTAGTCTTCCCTCCAGAACCCTCAGTTGGATTCTGAGTAATCACTGTGAACCTGCATGGAAATTTGTAAAAATATCGGTCTTACTCGATTCTTAGGCACTAAAGCAATCTTCAACTGAACTACTCTTTGGAGGACATGAAACCACGGCCAGTGCAGCTACATCTCTGATCACTTACCTGGGACTGTATCCTCATGTTCTCCAGAAAGTTAGAGAGGAGCTGAAGAGTAAGGTGAGAGGATTCTAGGAGTTCTGTATTAGCTTAGGAATTTCAGTTGCTCCCTTACCAACTTCTCTCCTGTTTAGGTCTGCTGAGTATTTCACTGAATATTTTGAAAGTGCCTGGCCAAGGGCAGAGTGGGCCTGTTGGGGGAGAGAATCTTGAGCTGTGATCCTACTTGGGCAGGGTTAGACCTTGTGTTCCTGCCTCTCCTCTACATTTTGCAGAAATGTGGAGATTTCCAGATAGTTTCCACTTTCTTAGATTTGGGTGTTCAAGGCATGAGTAGAATAGTGTGATAAGTGCAAGTAGCTGATGGGGCGGTGACAGGGGTGGGGAAGCTTGACCCTTCTTCATTGTGATCAGCATTTTCTTAGAATTGTAAATAGAGGATGGATTTGGGCAGAGAGTGGAGGTAAATGGCTCCTGGCTGCTGTTTCCCTCTATGCTCTGCCATCCTGAGGCCTTTTGGGTTCAGCCACCATCTAAGTCCTATTTTTGTCTTCTGGGCTGATTTTATTGGCGTGCAGGGCTTACTTTGCAAGAGCAATCAAGACAACAAGTTGGACATGGAAATTCTGGAACAACTTAAGTATATAGGGTGTGTTATTAAGGAGACCCTCCGACTGAATCCCCCAGTTCCAGGAGGATTTCGAGTTGCTCTGAAGACTTTTGAATTAAATGTAAGTTAAGAATTCTACCCGCATCCCATTCCTGCTCTGCCCCTTTTGTTGTTTTAAACCTATCCTTGCTTCCTTGAACATTGGCTTGAATTCTTTATGCTTTTGATAACATTGTCCTGTGCTGGAACCAATCCCTCTCTCTCCCAACCCTCTTTCTTTTAACTCATAACACCCCCAAGGAGATCCCTGGTAGTTTTTTGTTGGTGAAAGTTAAATTCCAGTTTGTCAGCCCTTGGGACTTCATAATCTTTTGCAGGGATACCAGATTCCCAAGGGCTGGAATGTTATCTACAGTATCTGTGATACTCATGATGTGGCTGATATCTTCACTAACAAGGAGGAATTTAATCCTGACCGCTTTATGCCGCCTCACCCAGAGGATGCATCTAGGTTCAGCTTCATTCCATTTGGAGGAGGCCTTAGGAGCTGTGTAGGCAAAGAATTTGCAAAAATTCTTCTCAAAATATTTACAGTGGAGCTGGCCAGGCATTGTGACTGGCGGCTTCTAAATGGACCTCCTACAATGAAAACCAGTCCCACTGTATATCCTGTGGATAATCTCCCTGCAAGATTCACTCATTTCCAGGGAGAAGTCTGATGGGCATGAATGCTCAAAACTTGGACTTATTTGAAGTGTACATATGAGTTTTTATATACTGTTGTGTTGACTTATTATATTTAATTTCTAAATGATATTATAATATTTATGTGTCTCTACTATAGCACCATGGTCTTTAAATATTAAAATAATGAATTTGTATAACTTCCAAATGAAATAAAATTTGAAAATATTTTTCTTGCATTGAACGAAATGGAAAAATCCACTGGTTTAATGTTTGGACTTAACGTTTGTGACCAGATTTCTAAATGTTTACCTGGGTTGATCTGTCATCTGTTCATGTTTATTTTTTGTAAGGAGGAAATCTTAGCTAATTGTTTTTCTCTCAATAGTTATTTGAAAATAAGTATTAGGTGTGTGTTGGCTCTAAGGTATCTTTGCAAATTCTTTAAAGGTAATTTAGATTCCCTGTTTGGAAAATCTATTAAGGTTAATTTAATTAATTAAAATTTTTTTCTTTGTGTTGCTGTCTGGGGATTAAACCCAGGGTTTCGTGCACACTAGACAAGTGCTACATTGCTGAGCTACATCCCCAGCCCAAAGTTAATTTTACTTTTTTGTTTTGTTTTTGTGTTTTGTGGTGCTTGGGATTGAACCCAGGGCAATTGTAGTTTAGTTTTTTCTTTTTTTTAACTTCATTTTAGGGAAAGATGATTCTGAAAAGGTCACACGCCGATAACTATCATTCTACAATAACACCTTCATCATATCTAGCATTTAATAAACATAATAAATCCTTATGCTTAAATAGAGCCAGAACTTTTCTCTGAAGTTAAGGTTGTAGATAAGACAAAGCTAGTGACTCCACTTATGGACAGTCCTTGACTAAAATGAGACCAAAATTCACTGGCATGTCACCTTTACTTAGAAGTTGCATTTGAAAACAGTTGGGAGGGGGGGAAGGCAAGTCTCTGGTTTAGATAAGCTGAGCCCAGGTTTTCTTTATTCAAAATGAGGCAGGAGGAGCAGATTTAGCAAACTGACAGATAAAGTTTTTATCTATCCCAGGCAATAGGGTGTGAGCCTGACATGACTGATAAAATGGCCCAGTCATGACCCTGTGAACCTTGGCTAACCTCCGTGAAAGCGCAGTTTTGTCACATTTCTGACCCTGGCATGGCCATGTTCTGAACTGAAGGCCAGACTCTCAATCCAGAAAGGTTAGGCCTGGTGACTTGCTTATGCAAGCACATTTTCCGTTTTGAAATGGCACAATCTGCTCACTGAACTTCTGATGGCTTGCAGGTTGGACTTTAAAATTTTCATTACAATTTTAGAATTTGGCAATGCTGAAGAAATCAGGTAGTCTACACAGGTATTTGAACAAAGTTCTGTTCATACAATTAGAATTTCATGTTCTACCTGACTTTAATATTTAGGTAGAGCTTGGATTGCACTCATTGTTGGAATCTTCTGATTTTTAGAATGTTTATACAATAACTTATAATGCTTTATAATAACCTTATAAAGCCATTTAAATATGTGATAGACTTACATAGTTTCAGCCAAGATTTAGTGTTCTGTAATGTACAAAAATGCTTCCTTCTCTGCATAACATTTGCCCTAGATCTTTCCAGCCAGGAGCACATAGCCTGAGGGGCGTCATTATTTCAGATAATTTATGCAAGATTACTTTAAAAAAGATTTTAACTCTTAATTTTGCTGGAGGACAGTTAGCCTCTAACAACAATGTTTTTGGTGGCTTTGCGTCTCTGTTTCTCTATAAGCATAATATAATAAGAAATTGGAGACATTTTAGCATATAATTCAATGTTTAAAATCCACCTTATTTTTTATCTGGTGAGCTTTAAGGAAAGCTTTTGCTTTTCCCAGGGCTACCTTTAGCTCAATTATGCTTATCAGTTATAGAGTAGTATAGAATTACCTGAAAAAACTTGTTAAAAACCCAATTTTCGATGATGCTGAGTGCTCAATGAAGGCACTTTAGTTTTGGGGTGAGTGTGGGGTGGACTGAACATTTGTACGCTGCTACACTGGACATAAAATGAGCCTGGTTTGTTTATCTGCGGCAAATGTGCCTTATGGCCCAGGTGCTCCTAGGTCACTGTCCATGCGGTGGAGAAATGATGCAGACTTGGCCAGAACTGTGGGAGGAGGGGAGATGGTATAGGAAATGATGCGGTGGGGCTCATTGTTGGAATCTTGCAGAGATGAAGGGGTGCTGTGTTTTCTGGGGCTGTGGGTATATCTGCTAAGCTGGTCAAGTTGGAACCCTCTGTCTCCTTCCGCCAATGTCCTTTGCCCTTATTGCCTCCCATGACCTCTTGTCTTCAGTCGGAGGTATGGCACCAATGAGCACTGTCAGGGCAAGGATGTGGAAGCCTAGAACTTTGGCATTCAGAAAAATTGTGGCCCTTGCTTAGCACAACCCCTGGGGAGCCAAAGAGGGACTGATTTCCCTGGGAGTGGTGGAATCAGAAAAGACCTCCTGATACCCCTTTTTTCCCTTCTCTCTTTTTTTAAACAGCTAATTATACCTGCCTGATATTGTTCCAACTTTCTGTAGCCAGACGACTAGACCAAGAGTCTCCATCTCATAACTTTCTACATTTCTCCTGCTACCTTTCCCTTCTCCTGCCACAGTGCTGATCAGTTCTTTTGCAGGCCATCAGAGGCAACTGGTAAAATGGGAGCAGTAGAGGAAGTGGCTGCTCCCTCCGGATCCCTTATCTCCTGGGACCAGTTCCTTGCTTTTCAAACCTTGCCACCCCCAAGAGGTCCACAAGGGGGCGGGCTTCTCCCTTGTATGCCAAACTCAGGGACTGGTGGTTTTCCCACCAGTGTCCATGAAATCCAGTGTCCACGAAATCCAGTGTCCAAACACTCTGGCCCAAGAACACTTTGAACACAGATAGATAGAGGCCTCAGGGCACCCACAGCTTAGCAACTCCTCCACAACAGGCCTGGCCCTTCTGGCGGTGGTCACCCCAACTGGGTTGAGCAGGACAGTCTTTCAGTTTTGGAAGACAGTCTGTGATCTCTGAGGTTAGCCAGCCCACGGCCCCAGCATTGCCCACACACTACCCACAATCTGACCTGTGTCACTCTTACTCCACCTGGACAATCGCTCTCAGTTGTGAGGGAGCAGGGACCACAGTTTTTCCACAATATGGGCAACCCTAGCCGGTGTTCAGATGCCCTTGCCCAAGTCCCTGAGCCATCCTATGAAAGCACTGTGGGAGGAGCAAGGGGTGGTTAGAGAAGCTGTGGTGGCTCTTTCAAGCAGTTGGAGCTCTGCTGTAGTAAATACAGATTTAGGCCAGTTCTGATAAAGAAAGTATGTGCAGAAGAGGGTGAAATAGAAGAAGGGAGATGCTGGGCCATCTAAAAAGTTCACTAGAGCCCTTTAGTGATGAAACAGGCCACCTGCGAAGGAACAAGCATGCATCCAAGCAGAAGCTGGGTAACTAAGCCACCATAGGGATCATAACAGGGAGGGTGAAGCTGGGGTAAATGACCCTCTCAAGCTTCTTCAACATTTTAACAGTGGTGAAGCTCTGAAAATTGATTCTGTATTAATCCAATTCCTCAGATACCTCCTTTACTTTAAAATGTGGATCAACTTCCATCTAGGGAGATAGGACAACCCCACATCCTCTTCCAGAACATCCAGCAGTCCTTAGTGATCATTCTCTCCAACCTCATGGCCAGATCAAGAGGTAGAACTGCAGGGAGGACTGACCTGTGACCTCAGAGACACTAAGTGCCATGTGACCTGTTGCTTCCAGCTGCGGTTCCTGTGCATGCTCTAATATATCCAAGGCCTCTCCCGGCTGACCCATGCTGACCATTCACAGGACCTAGCCTCGGGAACAGTACCCTGCTTTCCCCAGCCCTTCTACTGTGCTGTGCACTGAGCTGGAGTCTGTCCATTTCAGTTATCCCTTTTCTCACCTCCTGTAAAGCTACTCACGGCCGGGAAGTGTGTCTCACCATTCTAATCTTAGAAACCTAGTCCATTCCCACTCCTCCCTGCCTTCCCCCAGAATATACTCACACATAGTAGGTGTTTTGGGGGGAGAGAAAGCTTCTTGGGGCCAATTGACACCATTTACTCTATGTTTTTCCAACTTACATGGTGCCATGTTTTTCTTTGAAAAGTGAAACTTAGGAAAATCTCAGCAGCCGCGAGCTTACACGGCTGTGGTTTAACAGCATGTCACATTCCTGAAACCGACGCTCCATGCGTTTTTGGCCAAACAAGCTTTCCTCCCTTTGAAGTAAAGTCAACTTGAGTTAGAACCCTGGGATGGGGTGGAGACCTAGCTCTGGCCAGCGGGGTGGGTTTTCTGGGTGAGAGTTATCATGTTGCAATATTTGTAACCACATCTCTTTAGTACAAAAGCTGCCCCACACTGCAAGCCTTCCTGTTGCTGCCAAACCCTCCTAGTTGACCAGGGGTTAGAAACGTATGTACAAAAATTTTTTGGGGGGGAAGACAGAGGGTGTATCAAGGATTGAACTCAGGGGCACTCAACCACTTAGCCACATCCCCAGCCCTTTTTAGTATTTTATTTAGAGACAGGGTCTTGCTGTTGCTGAGGCTGGCTTTGATCTTGTGATCCTCCGGAGCCACTGGGATTATAGGAGTGTGCCCTATGTACACATTTCTGATAGTAGATGCTTCAAGATTTTTATTTGCAGTCATTTTTATGTTCACTTAATTGTGCAAGGGGACAAGGTGTTTTGCTTGTAATTTGACAAAACAAA